GCGTGAAATAATAAAGTCACCACAAATCTCTCTCTCTCTCTCTCTCTCTCTCGACAGTTTGTCATTGCTTTCGTACGATCAAGTGTAATGCGATCAACAGCGATTTCTCGCCGAAGAAAAAAAATATTTCGTACGGAGAGAAACGCATGCACGCGTGTCCTCGAGTCGGTAGGGTAAATCCTGTTTCAGTTTCATCGATCACACTTTATTTTCGGAATCCATTGTACCCAACCTTCTGTCGTCTCGTTTCTTCCTTGCAGGCCGGTTTACCTTCGACGATTATATTCATTCAACGGTTACCCACGTTCGCCGCACCTCCACCCCTTTCACAGTTTTTCTTCTTCCGACCGCTGAATCCTCCGTGTACGAAACGCTTCGCTCTATAAAGTTTCTGCTTCTTTGTGACAACCCCCCTCTCTCTCTCCTTCCTCTCTCTTGGAGGTTCAATTGCAATAAACTCGCCAACTGTGCATGGATGCGTCAACCATCTATATAATATCTTGCGAGTAATATCACTTGAAAATTTTACTCTGTCTTCTTGTTATCGTTATTGTATAATAATGTTGTTTATTTACGACAATTATTATACACGTCGGCTGCTACGGTGGTCATCGGTGATCGTCGTTTCTATTTTTAGAATAATTGAAATAATTGACGAATATCACTGACAACGAACATTAAACAATATCACCGGACGAAAGAATACGATTTCGTTGTATTTTACTGCAACACAATATCTTGTGCAAGTTGAATAATTTGTCTCATAGACAAAACGTAAGAAACACACGTTTCGCGTGTGAATTCCACGGATTTGAAACGAACGAATGTCAGTCAATTGATAATTGAAAAGAGATGAGAATCGAGAAATACCTGGAATTTTCTCAGCCAACTTGGTTGCTTCGTCCGCGTAATTTTTAACGCTCCTCCGACAAATACGCGTCCTTTGTTTTCACATCTGGTGAATTCAAATCTCGCTATCTTTCTCTCCCAGTTCTTTATAGCAGCTTCCAATGAAAGAAAATCATCATGTCACTCCGCGTCTCGTTAGCAACGTCAACTTGATTCGCCGTTTGAGAAACGAGAAGCCCGACGAAACGAAAATTGGATTCTTTCGGCTCGAAATCTCCCGGCCCGGAGAGATTAAACCGAAAATTCACCAGCGAAGTATACACCGCGCGTGTTCCACTTACTGCGTTAACGCCATAAATCCTCGCTCAAGGATTCAATATCGCGTCGCCACAGCTCGCATTTCATTTCGAGACCGGTGCGTTTGCCAAAAATATGCGGTTCCTTCGGGCTGGAAGCTCGACGAGGTTACTGGAATCTCCATTATTTCACGATCGAGAGATACTGCGGCTCTCGATCTTGAAGGATCTCGAGCAGAGGAGAGTTTCGTTGTGATGTGTTATGGCTATCAATTAGGGGGGAAAAAAGGGAGAAGGAAGAGAGAAGGAGGTATTTTTCTGGTGGAAATTCTCGCGAAAATCAAAGTTGAAATCGCGTGATAACGCATGCCAGCGACAAAACGCTGCGGAGGAAAGTCGGTCGTAATTCTAGCTGGCAAAATTGTTAAGACGAGAGGTCTCTGTGGCTAACACAAGGGTAACCATTATTATCCGTAATCTGAAGAGGCATAAATTTGCCCAAGGATACAACCGGGCGAGAGATGCCTGCCGGTCGGCCGTAGGGTGAGAAGACGAGAAGAAAGACGTAGAAATCGTGGGGAATAAAAATTAGAGAGCTGGCTAGTCTGCAGTGGAATTGTTCTCTAGCCCGTCGATCTTGTGAAAATAA